ATTCCCGACTGCAAAGACACTTCGTCCGGCCAGACGAGAGCAAAAGAGGGGATCGCTTCGCGTCACTGTTGTGCGAGTTTGAGTTCAACATTGGCAATACCCAACAACGTCAACAACAAGCTCGGTGAGGTGAGCATATAGCGTATCTTCGATACCAAACCCTCACGCATAGCATGTCTATATATATATACATATCATATACATATATATATATATATATGTATAATGTGTATATAATAGCGCACACCTTCAGGAAGGGTACTAGGTACTGTTGTGGGGGATACTTTCTCATGTCAGAATAATGATGCCTAGTTTAGGGACCCTTCCGGTAAGAACGTGCGTAAGTCAGGAGCCCTCATTGTAATCAAGCAAACCAGATCCGGAACCTCGTTGCGAGAATTCCAGCTCGCTTCAACAGACAGAGTTGTTGATGCAATTTTGTTTTCGTGCTTCATGAGTGATTCAGTGAAAAGTTTACAGTTGAGCGTACAGTGCTCCGCCCCTGTTGTCGTGCAGGTTCGGCTGGACATTTCTAATCATTGCAACTACCGTAGTACTCAAACCACTATGATACAACTTGCTTCTGTTAATCAAAGAACTATGTTACAACTAGTATTCAAACCACTATGATACAACTTGCTTCTGTTTGTTTTGAAAATCGTGTGGCTTGTGGGTTCAGCCTCGTAAGGCTCGAAGAGCTTCTCGCCATGGTCCCTGTCAAATGGGAGTTTCAGAAAATTGGGGTACCTTACGTTGGGGGTCCTTATATTAAGGATCCTATTATTTAGGGTGCTAGATGAGGGTCCCCTATTTTCTGAAACTCCCAAATGATACTATGTCGAGGTCTGCGCGGCTGAGCAGATGTCCACGAGCCCGGTGCCTGTGACTCTGATCATGTGGGGATCTGGGCGATGTGAGGCTTCAACCCTTTCTGCGTGAGGGCGCAACTTCGTTCAACAGATCATCAGAAAAAGGTTGCGGCTGGGGCTATTCAGTTTTATGCAGCTTGACGTGCATTGCCAAAACGTTTCTGCACCGAAGCGTTTGCGCTTCAGACTTCAGTCTTTATTGTCGCGCGCCATGCATTTCTCGTGCAGAAACAACCGGCACCTTTCTCCCATCGACATGCCCTTGAAGCCCGCACTCCTTTTTTCCGAGGAGTCGAAGAGGTTAGCTGCGGAGCAGCGCAAGAACTCTGCAGTGCCCTCGGCGTAGACGGCACGGAAATCGTCGGACCTCTGTTGCAGTGCTCGTCGTTTGCACACGAAATACATACACACGAAAATAGTTCGAGCAGCACAGAGCACCAGCTGCAACAGTAGTAGTAGAAGTAGAAGTACAAGTTTTGTTCATAGTCGCTAGTCGTGGTCGTAGTCGTCGTAGTAGCAGTAGCAGTAGCAGTAGTAGTAGTAGTAGTAGTAGTAGTAGTAGTAGTGGTGGTAGTAGACGCAGTAGTAGCAGTAGTAGTAGTAGTAGTAGTAGTAGTAGTAGTAGTAGTAGTAATAGTAGTAGTAGTAGTAGTAGTAGTAGTAGTAGTAGTAGTAGAGTAGGTGTAGTAGGTGTAGTAGTAGTAGTAGTAGTAGTAGTAGCAGTAGCAGTAGCAGTAGTAGCAGTAGTAGTAGTAGTAGTAGTAGTAGCATAAGTAGTGAAGGAGGAGGAGCTAAGAAACGTGCACCTACAGAAGTCGTCGTGGTGCGGCTTGTTCCATCATTTCCTCCATCAGTCAAGCCAGAATCTTTCTCGTGGGCTTGATGAAGCAGTGGATGTCCCGATGTTGCAAAAGACTCGTCATGAAACAATGTCGGGCTGCTGTTGTCACAGAGGTCCCTCCGAGTGCTTCCGTTGCGGAGAACGGAAAGCCGCAGACACCTGGTGGCACCGGGAGCGATCATATCCGTTGAGCTTTGGGCCGAGCAGATTGCTCCATCTTGGAAACACGGCCCGAAACAGGCACAACTGTTGTTTCACACCTGGTCCAACGATTTGTCTCTTGTGGAGCATGACTATGCTTGGCTTCATGTTTTAATGAGCAGGGCTTGTCCTCGAAACCTGCTCCATTTTGCGTTTCCCACTAGGCGGTTGACGTTTCCCACTAGGCGGTTGAGCCCGAGAAGGACTTCTAATTCTAGCAATCCGGTAGGATGGCACATTCTACATGACATCGGTCGTATTATAGCATCGGCGAGCGTACTTTCGCAGCATTTGGCCGTAGGGCACTGGCGTCTACTACTATCCTACACTGGCCTCTACTCAGTAGACCCAAGCAGCCCAAAAACCGGCAAACTCGTCCCAGTCGTGTTTTTTTCTCGCGCCTTTCCCTGGATCCCAGGCGGTGCCCGCACACGGAAGTCACGGGAGGCATGAGCCGGATGAGAGGGGCCCCTAAACCCCCAAACCCCAAACCATACTTAAAGGATCATGGGACTTAGTAAGTATAGGGTTACAATTAAGGTAACTATACTTATAACCCCAATTAGGGGACTTATAACCCTACTTACTACTAAATCCCATGATCCTTAAATTTAAGTGTATTGCATGGCATACGCCGCAATGGCTGTAGACATTGTGCACCAATGCACGGAGACAGCAACCGGGGTAATGGTAGTTGACACAGCCTCTTCGTTGGTCACTGGCCGCCTTGGTTGTGTCTGACGAGCACTAGAAAAATGCTGGAAATTCTGGGCCAGGCTATGTCGCAGCCCTGTTTCTAAGACTTGTCTATTTCGCAAAGGGGCACATAGTAGGCCGCCAGATTGAACAAATTTTCGCTGGTTCTACGCAGACACGTTGAAAGGCCGATGGCGAAAGCCCAGTGTTGGGGCCAGCGATGGGTCGACCACAGCTCCCTCCACACCCCGAGCCATGGCACTTTCTCGTGGGATGTTGTGCAATATAGCGGTTTAAACAATTACCGATATTTTTTTGGGGGTTCCTTACTATCATCCTTTGTAGTTCGGTCTTCTGCTCCGAAAGCTTGAAAGAACGAGTCACACTGATGCCAATCCCACGATGGCCTGTCAGATCTGCCTATGTGATACTGGAAGCCACCAAGGGAGCGTCACAACATCCTTCGGTTGTGTTCAGAGCGGGGATTTTTCCACAGAGTCGGCATAGCACAGAAAGTGTTGGAGAAGGACGCCGGCTCGTCCAAACAACTCCACTTAGCTTATATTACATGGCATTGTGTGTCTGCTGCCCTCTCTTGAGCACCTGTTTTCTGGTAGACTTCTGGCTGTTGAATTGCCACTTCCACATTTTGCTGGAATTCCGCACGCTCTGCCTACAGCGGGTTGTATTTGCTCCTTATTGTTGATGGACTGCTGGTGTCCATTCACAAACGTCATGCTGATTGCTGCACTGCTGTTCGATTGTGCCCTCGTTCAATGTACCATTCGGGCATCATAGGGTCCTGCACATGACTACCAATCAGAGTATCAAAGCCTCGGCTGTACGGGAGCAGAACATGTGTTGTGTCTGATGTTAGGAAAGGGCTCTAACGCAGATGCCAAGCGAGAGAATAAGAAACACAAGCCGGTGCTTAGTAACACAACGTTTAGGTTTCCTGGACCTTCGGGTGCAACTTGTACAGTTCCGTACGTAGCTGAAACTAAGGAGGCAGACTGCTGACGACCACGAGGCTGCTTCCAGGTTCGCGAGCAGCTTTTTGCAGCTGAAACAGGGTGCCTTCAAAATTTCAGAAACCACGATCCCTCAAAGAAGGATGTCTTGTTCATCTGACTAGGCCGGCCCTAAGAAATTCGGGGTGTTTGGTCGACCACCCTGGCCCAGAGTTTTGAGAAACATCCTGAAGAATGCAGGCGGCACGTCGAGCAAAGAGACATCCAGCCGATCCAGCGGCGTCATCTGCAATACTTCAATCCATGTACAGGCTTATCGGGCTTAGGGGGTGTAAGTAATCCGCCGATTAGGCTTTTGTTGAGTGGAAGCCACCTGTCCTGTGAAACTACTGGTGGGCCTAATGGAAGAGTGCCGATGCGAATCTGCTCCTCGCTTCAGTAAGGGAGCCGCGTTCCACCAAAAGATCTCCTTCTTTGCTCTCTCTTTCTCTCCCTCTCTCGCTTTTTCTCCCTTCTTACCCTTTTTTATCTTCATATTCAGCCTTGCATTATTCAACCATTTGTGTTCAGGTACATGCACTCGTTTGTACCTTAACCGAGCTCTGCGAAATATCTGCCTTAGATACCGATGCGTTGGGTACTGCCCCCACTCAGTAACAGTTGGATAATATTTATATTATGGATATATTAGGCCCTTAATAGTAGCCCTATTGTAGACTGGTACTGTATGGGGGCAGTACCCAACCGTTGCCCACCAAGGTGACGGCGAGTTGTCCAACGACCTGACATCCGACAGTGAGTAGACGCCAGAAATACGTCTGCCTGGCCCGCTGAAGCCGAAATTCTCCATCCAGTTAGTACTAGTACTATAGCGTTTAGGGTTTTGGGTTTATGTGTGTATGTGTATATATATATATATATGGGGCCGTAATAATTGGAGTAGGGTTTTGGGGCCGATGGTACTATAGGTGTGGTGATTTAGGCCCCTACATTACTTGTCTTGCTACTATCTCTCATAACCTGTTTGTTCTGATTATTCTGGCTTAGGTTCTGTTCGCAGTTGCAAGTGAACTGAGCCCTTACGCAGGGCTCAGTTGCAATCTTGATCTTCTGTGGGCTAGGTGGCCGGAAGGCCATTTACACCTTGAGCTGACTGGGAGCTTTCTCGAAAACTTTGTCCGCAGAGCCCACTTTATCCGAAGTTCTCGACTGCAGCGCGGCCGCGTCACCCCCCGTCTCTGGCTACCTCAACAACCTCTGATTCTGAAACCTTAAGCCCAAGCCCCACTAAGACCTCTAAGAGGTCCTTAGCCTTGAACGCCTCAAGCCCTTTAAGCCCGAACCTTCCATCCGAACTCCCTGAACCCACTTAGGGTCATGGATTGCGGTTGGATCTCGCCATGGGTTTCGGCACCGAAATCTAACCACTTGGTTTGGTTGAAATATAGCCTTGCGCAGAGGGAACCCCCAGAACAGATATTGAACCTAACCAGCCTTGTCAAGGACTTCGTTTCACCTTGATCAAACCCAAAAACCCTAAACCCTAAGCGAGTGTGAGCGTGGAAGCCCTAAACCTCGGAGAGCGCTGGGTGATGGCTAGCGAAGTGCTCTGAGGTCTGCTCGGATTGCGATGCGGGCCGATATCTTGAGGACGGCTCAGCATAGAGGGTTTGGGGCGGCCGGAAGAGATGTGTTGGTTGTCTTTAGCCGGGTGTTCCTTTTCAGGGGCCCTTATCAACCCCACCCTAATGTGGAAACCCTGGACCCTAAACCTCAAACCCTAAACCCTAAACCCTAAACCGAAAGGCTTGTGGGCTTGGATTTCGGCAGTTCGGGCTCGGGACTAGCGCTTGGAGTATCAGCTACGCCTCTGACCCGTGTCTTCTGCTGTACTAAGCCCTACACCCCTAAGCCCTAAACCCCTGTAGTAGAGCGAAAGCACACCACCCTTCGTCTTTGCGGTGATGCCTAGAACCCTGGAATCTGACCTCAGTCAACCAAAGTCATACAATTACTGGCAAAGATACAACAGTTGCAGTTGTTGCATGTTCAGCAAGCGTAATTCAGTCACCGTCTTCTCGAGGACACCGCAGCCGCAAGTGCTGTGCAGTGCTTGTCCTGCCCAGCGGGGACTGCTACTTCACGCAACGGTTTCAGGTTTGGGTGGTTCGAGGCGATCAGAGCAGGCTTCTTCCACAAGGCGCATTGGTTGGATGTAAAGTTGCAGCTAGAATCCTTTGTTTATCAGGCTTGGCATTCCCACGGGACATTCGGTTTTCTTTTGTCGGCCGCCCCGAACCAAATGAAATGGTCAAAGCCATCAAGACAGGTTGACTCTCTGGTGTCCCCATGTCCCGCGGCTGCGTTTGTTTGTGGATCGAGCCTTGAGGCTTCTGCGGCAGGATCCTCGCAGTGCAGCCTCTGCCGCTGGGCAAGTCAAGCCGTCCAAGAGGTAGAGTCTGTTAGTGTTTTAGGGTTTAGGGTTTAGGTGAGACGTTCTAGGCTCCAACCTCTCAGGGAAAAGCTGCCCCAGCTCCACTTCAGTCGCTTCAAACGTGGCTTCTGCAATTTCCGCGGTGGGGTGGTTGGTATTGAAGACTCGGGTCTACAACCGTTAGCGCAACCTGAAATGATGCCATCAGATTCCTGTTTCGAGCTTGTGTTGTTGGCATCAAGGTCCCTTGCATGGCCTTGTTAATACGGGTGCCGTACTAGTTTTGGGGGCCCAAATTCAGAAACCCTAAACCCTAATGTCCCATGGTGTTCATGCCACGCCTGGCGCTTCCTGTAGGCTCGCGCGGCCGATATTCATCTGCCGATGGTGTCCTGGCATGGGTTGCGAATTTCAGGGTTTCCCGGTCCTTTTAAGGGGTTCCTTTAAGGGGTTCATGAGGGCTCAAGGGGGGCTTTCGAGCATTGAGAAGGGTTCGCATCGCAGGGTTCTGTACAGGTTCTTTACGAAATCTATAGAAGGTTTTGCGAGGCACTGCGTGCGTCGATCCCGAAGAAGAGACAGTCGGCCGAGAATTAGAGGTTCTATCGAGGGGGCAGGGGTTTCGAGCTGACGATTTAGGATCCCAAACACAAGCCACAAAAAGGAACCACTTTGGGGCCTATGGGTAAGCAATGAACCTCCAATCGCAGCCTTTCTCGAGTCCGAGGTTCTCCTGAATGTCGTCGCTGCCCCATCGTAGCCCCTGCGGTGGATGCAGACGGCGCCATGGGCCGCTTTGCTTGTGATGAAGTCCTTTCGAAAAACGGTGCAAACTGACAAGTCCATAGGAGGTCGATAGTCAGCTTTCTGTAAGGTTTCAAAACGAATCACTTCCATACCAAGTCTCGAAAACAGTTATAAGTTATACCGTATACCGTTATACCCATGGGAGTGTGTATGTCTATGTGTGTATATATATATATACACACACATTGTTCTCCTTCTCCTAGGGGCACCGGTGTCTTTGTGTGCGTGTGTGCATGTTCACGAGGTGCAACGCTCATATTATACATATTCATATCACAATAGCAGACGTCTGTGTTCACCGAAGGATGGACGTGCGAAATGGCGGTCTGTGATTGAAACTACATTTCCTCGCGTCGGGGCTTAGGGTTGCTGAGACCTCATGTTGCCAGAAATCCCCCAGGCGCTTCAATTCTCAAGCCAGGCCGGTTGAAACGCCTTCCTAGGCTCTTAAGCTCTTGCCCGTTATAGGGCCAGAGGTCGTATCAGAACGGCCGGCATGCTGGCTATGGCAATGAGTGTAAAGATGTAGCAATATGTGTGCCATCCTGAAATGTTGGGTTCTCAAGACCCAGCCCTAAGGTCTATGCACCCTTAGCCCTAAACCTCAAAGGCTGCAACTACCATTCCCAGTGAGGTCTTCCAACCTGGCCTAACATTGTCCGATCAAGAAACAGGGCGATACGCCCTGCGCCCTAATGCAGGGGCCCTAATAATTAGAATAGGGTTTTGGGGCCCATTATACTATAATTATAATTAATAAGGAGCCCCCAAAATAGTATTGATGATTATTTAGGCCCTCTATTACTGGCCCCAATACATCTTTTGGAAGATTTTCCGCGAGCCCGAGCCGAGGATGCTGCCCGACGAACTCGGAGAAGTGGCCCGGTGGTGGAGACTCCAACCTGATGTCCGCATCTGAGTGTTTTCTTTTTTTTAGGGTTTTAGGGTTTAGGGTTTAGGGTTTAGGGTTTTGTTATGTCGCACGTGCTGCTTTGTTCGTTTTTGGGGGAGGGTGGGTATTGGAAAAGTGGCTGGTTAAGGATGAAGAGGTGCAATGGGAGATCGCCGGGAATTCCAGGAAAGAGCGTCCGGTTTGCAGCGGCCACAAGACAAAGGATTTTCTTTCAATGAGAATGATGCTTGGTAGTTTCGCCAGCTTGTGTTTGTTGATGTTGGTATATGTTAACTTGTGGCTATGCTGCCATTTGCACGTCTTCCTTCGCAGCTGCCAGTGCGTAGTCTTTAAGCGTTCACATAGGCGCAAACGTACCGGCTTGGCGGCTTAGCCCTCTCCTGCATTGGCATTACAGGCATGAAGAACGGCAGAGAACTGGCCACTTCAAGACGAGCTTCTGCCCATATCGTTGAAAGCGTATTTATGTATGTATGTATGTAGGAATGTATGTATGTATGTATGTATGTATGTATGTATGTATGTATGTATGTATGTGTATATATATATATATATATGTATGTATACATGTGTATGTGTACATGTATGCCGTCCGACCTACGCCACCGACATGCACACATCGCCTGCGCTCACATAGAGGCCCCTACTATCGCCATAACACCGCCCCAAGTCGTAGCTCCGAGCATTCCGTGGGCCCAAGGGGTTTAGGGTTTAGGGTTTCCGGCCAAGGTTGAGTATGCCTCCTGGGAAGATGCTCACAGAGGTCCATGCGGTGGGCGGCTGCGAGGCAGGATCTAGGGTTTCGGGTTCAGGGTTTAGGGCCACTAGACATTACAAGGGTTGTTACAAAGGTACCCTCTATGATTGTGTGGGTGTCATGCGGGCTAGAGTAAGGGTGCTATGAGAGTTCGTTCGCCAATTCGGCACCTAGAGTAGAAAGACCATATGTTACCATATGTTGGCTTAACTTGCGAGTATGGATAGTGAGTACTGATATTCCCTTAGATAGCCAGGGCCTTATTTTTGTTGTCCAGGCCCTTAAATTAAACCAGCGCTGTTTCTTCAAACATTCGGAGTTGATTGGTCTGTAGTGGGAGCTGACATGGGTATGGATAGATCTGTTTGTGCCAGTAGCACTGAAGTATCCCTTGTAGTCCTGATCATCCGTTGTCCATACCCTAAAATCCCTGAAAGCTGCCTTAAAAAAACAACTACACCATAAAAGCTTGATAGACTCCAAGCGCAAAATCCCAAACCAAGGCTTGAGCCCAACTCGCGTTTCAAGAGTGCCGAAACCCTCCGTATTTGTATTATGCTATACTGCTGTGTAGCATACAGTATCGTGTTATGTTCTATCACGCTATGAAATGTTGTATTATATTTTGCTATGCCATGTTCTGTTATTCTATATCAGCTGTATACTGCTGTATTATGTTCTGCTGAAGTATGCTATATTTCATTACAGTACATATGTTATGTTTGTTTTATGTTATGAAATTTGCATTGTAATATGCTATATCCTGCTGAGAGGAAGCGAGTTTCAGGGTTCTTCACGCACATGCTTTATCTGTCGCAAGCCTCCCCCCCAGAAATTTGAAAGGGAGAGAGTAGTATCGTTTCAATCTGCAATAAGAAACCCTCGAAAAATCGCTCCTAAACCCTAAACCCTGAAACTCCTATCCGAACGAAGCCCTGCCACAGGACGACATTGACCCGGAGGAGTCTCAACAGGGTTCAGCCGGCGTTTGTTTGGGGGTTCAGCTGCAACTATCGTAGGTCATCGCCCACTTGATTTGGCTCCTGTATACTTAAAGCAGTTACTAAAGCATTGAGAGTGATAGGGTTTGCGGACTTGCCGGCGTGAGATTTTGATACTGCAGTTGGTTGTTTCAGTACTGAAGCTGTTGTTGGTGGGCCCCATGCCATGCATATATACATACATACAGCGTCACACACACGCATGTATAAATAGATAGATGACATGAAAATATCTACATATATAAATATTTTGATTTATGTATATTTGTAAAGATAGAGATAGACAGGGGGCGGAACCCCCACATCCACGAGTCAGGAGGATAGGGGACTCGCATTCTCTAGCGGAAATATTGCAGGAAACAGCCGGCACTTGAGCATCTGCTGTTGAATTGAACCGTACATCATGTACCTTCATGCACTCCGGCGACACAGCGCCTAAGTTGCTATCTGCGATCTAGGCGCCGTCTCGGAGCAGCAGTTGCCAAGTGCTCTAAACACTCCTCAGCAATACTGTGACAGGCAAACTGGAGATCGCACCCCTGGGCCTAGTATCGCAGGAGGAGTATCATTCTTTACGTGGCAGCAGCCCTCAGGATCCCACAACGGACGACCTGGTGATCCGAACCAGCCGGCCCCTTTTCGAGGGGACAAACTCGCTGTCCTTCGCCACAATCCGGCCGTCAGGCGGGCTCGATAGAGGAGCTTCAACAGATGGGCATGCCGCCTGGTGTGCGTGATAGGTGTCGCGAGTGCTTCTGCACGACCAAGATCAGGCATAGGCATTGCAGGGCAAGTTGAGCTGCTGAGTCCGGAAACGCAGGGCCTCCAGCATACATGGCGCTGCATTCTGCTAAACTAAGCCGTCTGCCCTGTGCCCCAACTCTTTTGATTTCGAAACTCTGCACCTACCGCCCAGGTCCCAGAAAGAAGGTGGCCCCAAGAAGCGAAATCCTGCAAAGCACAGCAGGACTCCAGCAAAGGACACCAGCAACACAGAAGTGCATCATCAATAAACTTTCGCATGTGGAACTTAACATGACATCGGTTGAGATGATCTGCAATCTGCAACATACCTTTCTATAAGCTTTATGATTAGAACAGCCACACAGTGATAATTGCTATAATCGCAAGAAACAGTAAGCACCATTTCGCAGCAGGCAAAGATATGTATGTATGTGATTGTATGTGTGCATGCAAGGATGTATGTACGTACGGGTGTAACATGTGTCTGTAGTTATGCATGCATGCA